TATGTATAAAAATGTATATATATTTTTTAAACTTAAACATTGGTACTGTATAGTATAACTATATTGGTATAATATAAAGTGATATTGCAATAACAATTCAGTTAATAATGTTATACTAACTATATGAGTATAACCACATTTTAATTGACAAAGATAGGACAAAAATTTGCAGTCTCTACTGTATTTTAAGAACAATTGTTATGGTCATTGTTTTATTTGCCAATTGGTATAGCATCACTATGAAAAATATTATTAAAAACAATATATTTTTTACACAAAAGTACACTTATATGTAGATATGTACATATGTAGATTAATTTAAGTTATAACAAGAGTTATTATTAAAATAAGACGAGCATAAAACAACAAATAGTGGAATTGACACAATTTTACGTAAATTTATTATTTACTTTGAAGGCATTTCCTATTTCATATATCTAAACATCATAAAAAAATCTATCATTATGTAACGATTATAAATGTGTTCCATAAACAAATTTCTAACCATAAAGTTACTAACCTCTACGTACTGTATTCCTATTTCAAAGTTCTTCTGATATAAATGATATACAAAAGTATTCTTTATCACGGATATCACTACTCGCATTTCTCTAGAAAACAACTTCTAACACATGATTCGTTATGCAACAGAAAAATATATTTTAATATGTCATATGAATTATTCAATTTTGTTAAAGTTTGTTAATTGTAAAGAAAAATAATCGGTGTCATTAATATTAGCAATAACGCAATATATGCGATAACATGATAATATTAATGAATATTCTATTGCAATCTCAGTTTCATCATGTTCTTCGTTAAAATTTCGACATTTTCAGGTACTTTCGTAATTCCAACCCACGTGCAGCTTGGGTGTGCTGCAGCTCTACTGTGCGTTGAAGAAAGATTTTGCACGATAGATGGCACGATTAGTCCAGAGCCTGTCACGTTGTCGGAGAAACAACTTCTTCGACGGGTACCGATGAGCGTAAGTAAAAGTAATAGAGTAATTAAAAATTTTGCAGATTTATATAAATGCATACGTGTTTTCGTTAATGAAAAACGTTAAAGAGTGTTATTTAATATCGAATAAAATATAAATAGGTATAGAGACTGAACATTCTTTCGGTGAAATATATTTACAAATATATTTAATATTTTACATAATATATATTTATGTAATATATTTTATATAATAATCGAGATATAGCTGCCGGTTTTTTTTATCTTAAAATTATACTTTTGAAAGTAGGTTACATCGAGTAATGTATTCGATTGAATCGTAAATAACTTCCATCTCTTTTCTTAATTTTGTTATTGCTTAACATCTCATCAAATTCATATTAATTTATTATTGACTTTCTAATTGTTATTGCCAATAATTTCTTATTGACTTTACAATTCGCCAGTTCAAGCCTTGTAAAAATTCGTAAAAATTTTAGTACGAAATAGGATGTGAATACTTCTTCGCTATTTACAAATTCTATTCCATTTAACACATTTGGTCGTGCTTGGAGGGGATGGTAGTACGTGGAGTAATATAACTATACTGGTGGATTTAAAAATCATGTTTTGAACGCGAAGGATAACTTTAGATACGTGTTATAGACTGATTTATCTGGTTTATGTGACTAAATATATTTTAAAAGTCTTTTTTCGGAGGAATTATTAAATTTATCAATACATAACGTTATTTCTTATATTGCAAAAAATTCGTATGAGTAAAATTATGACGAGACATAAATGATTTTTAAATTATTCATATATTATACATGCATAAATATGCAGGCATATCAAATTTTTTAAGGAATTTTAAATTACAAATCGATTTTACTTATGTCGTTTAATTCTTGATACCGCGAAAAAATTATTGTTGTGATACAGTTTTATAAAAAATTATTTTTTCCCTTAAAATAGTTACCTTTGTACTATACGAAATTCTTTTATTTTGACCCAATAGTAAAGATCAATACTTATATAATCTTTAATATTGAACAAGAACCTTTGTTAATATAATTATTATTATTATTATTGAAAAATATCGGTGGAAATAATTGTTTATATACAGGATGTTCCAAGAACGGTAGTACAACCAGGAAGGAGGTGATTCTACATGCAGAAACAAATCGAACAAAACGAATAAAATTTTTTGATTCAAAGCTTCGTTTTCGAGAAAATCGATTTTGAATATTTACTTAGTATACGTTCACTTAACTATAGCTTAGATATATAGATCATCAATACATCAGCATCGATGGTACAGCCAAGGAGTGAGTGATTCTACGTGAAAAAACAAATCGAAAATAAGGAATAAAATTTTTTCATTCGAAGCTTCATTGTCAAGAAAATCGACTTTGAATATCTCCCAAGTACACTGGTATGCTGATAGTCCATCCGCCATACCATTAACCAAAGCGCATGCGCACACGGTGAATATTCAAAGTCGATTTTCTCGAAAACGAAACGTCGAATGAAAAAACTTTTTTCTTCATTTTGGATTTGTTTTTTCACATAGAATCATCCTCTCCTCGATTGTACCATCGATACCCATGTATCGACGGTCCATACATCTAAGGTATAGCTAAGTGCACGTGCACTGGATAAATAATAAGTTGGTTTTCTCAAAAACGAAACTTCGAACGAAAAAATTTTATTCTTTTTTTTCGATTCATTTCTGCACGTAAAATCACTCCCTTCGCCGCTGTACTACGGTTTCCGAGACACCCTGTATATGTAAAGAAGACTTACGTAATACATAAAGTCATTTAAATAGTATTTTATACATTTCATTCATACTACTGAAGATAAACAGGTTTTAATAGTAAATATATGAGATATTATTTCATACACGGGTAAAATAAATAATTAAAAAGAAATAATTAATTCATAAATTATGTTTTATCATATGCATGTTAAAAATATTGTAATAGACCATTAACGCATATTCCAATAAAATTATATAGCTACTAATAATTTAACGATGTAATTTTACTTTGCATTTTTATAATTTCATGGAAATAAATTTATTGTATTATATTTTATAATGATTTTATCTATAAAAGACAATTATTATAGAAATTAAAATTGGTATTTTTATAAAATGTGTTTTCTAAATCCATAAATGTGTTCCAATGTATTACAATTTCTTTATCGATAAAAATATTAGCGTATATAAATCATAAACACGAAGCATTATTGATAAAGAATTATTGATAATAATTCGATATACAGTTATATTATACGTATATTAATATTATACCTACTTCACCTTTAAAGAAGATATGTGTTGGTTAATCAACAAGAGCGATTTAAATCGTTAATTATCTTTAAATTATAATTTATATCATGGTATACGAAAAAGATATATATATATAACAATATAATTTAGTTTCGTTAAAAGGTCAGATATATAACTGTAAATATGAAAATAAATATACAGAAACTGTTTAAAATAAAAGAAAAAAAATTTATAAAAATATAATATAGCTAAAGAATTGACAAATTTCTAAGTCTAAATTCACATATGTATACATACGAGGTATTTAAAAACAAACATATCGATTAAAATTTCAAAACGTGGTATATAAGAAATATCGTTTCTCCTTTTCACAGAGTTGTAGAAATCCTGATAATGGAATAGTTGGTAAATGTTGTCGAGACCCAAACTACGTTGATCCTTGGCCAGCATCCAATCTTCCAGCGAATTACTCAGGAGGATTCGACGAACAAGGATTTCCGACGTTTTTGAATATAGCAAAAGTGAGACCGAATAGCGCACCTGTACAAACTACCAAGATACCGGTAACGTATCGACCTCTGCCACCATTGGAACCCAAATTGCAACCAGAAAATTCGAATATCTTCACGGAAACTTTAATACCACCGAGTACAGGCAAAGACGTGAAAAGCACCTTTACCAGGACACAACCGAAAGTAACATGTGGTACTAGAAATAAGGTGAGTACCTTACAATCTTAAAGCAAATTGTTCCTTGATATATGTTGGTGATTACCAATGATATATCAATGATTATTTCAAGATAGACATAAATTTTTACATTCCAAAAATTAGATGAAAATAGATCAAATTTTAACACTGCACTTGGAAGATGACACTCAGTTATCGCTTGTTCCGATACCTCAAATCGAATGGCGAGTAAGAGGTTAGGTTTGATAGGTCACTTTTAGAGTTTGTAACTTTTTAATTAATTCTATGCATGAAATATCATTATAACGCTTATTCACTCTGATGAAATATGTATTTGGACATTTGATTACGTAATTAAAGTTGTCTTAATTTGGTAACAAGTAAGGTATATTCATAATTTTTTTAACATTCGTTATCTTGGTAAACTAGCTACCATGATCAGGGCAGGCTGACTAATTTTTTAGCAAATTAAACACGCATTATGTTTATAATATAATTCTTTAGTGACAACACATGCTTTTTTGATAATTTTTTTTATAGTAATGCATTTTTTAATTGGTGAATTTGGTAATTGATTAATTCCTTTAATATTAAGTTCACTAGATATATCTTTTCCTCGAATAAATAATATTAGATTTTGATTATTACCTCCATCATTATTATTGACTTTTTTAATTGGTGAATTTGGTAATTGATTAATTCCTTTAATATTAAGTTCACCAGACATATCTTTTCCTCGAATAAATAATATTAGATTTTGATTATTACCTCCATCATTATTATTGTTATTAATTAGAAGGATTTTTAATTTTACATCAGGTACAGGTTGAACAGTTTATCCTCCATTATCAAATTATATATTTCATTCTTCACCTTCAGTTGATTTTACAATTTTTTCATTACATATACCAGGTATTTCATCTCTTTTAGGTTCAATAAATTTAATAACTACTATTATATTAATAAACAATTTTTGTTTAGATTTAGATAAAATACCGTTATTTCCTTGATCAGTATTTATTACAATAATTTTATTGTTATTATTGTTATTATGATCTGTACATAAGCTAATTAAATTTAAACAGAAGAACAAAATAACTATTTAAATCCTTATAATAGCAGTGAAAGATGAGATTATTATAAGAATGTAAATATAATATATACAAATATATTATTATCTGATACGTAACTTATATGCATAAAAAAGTATAAAATTGAATACATTATATCATTTACTTCATCAGAAGAGTAATTTACGTCTTACTTTCCTCTTTCTGACTTTTTCTTATTTTCTCTATAATTTTCGAAATACAAACATTTCTACTATGCTCTATGTTATAATAGGTTGTATAATTATAGTTTATACATTGCAGTTATAGTTATACAATTTATAGTTTTCCCAAATCATCTAAGAAACAAACTTTAAAATAATCTCATAATTAACATTTATTCTACTCCAACTGTATACACCGTGAGAGCATAAATTCATCAAGAAAAAATAACTTGCATAATCAATTTTTCGATAAATGCTAATAATTTTCAAATAACATACATTGTTATTTGAAATGTCGTAAATAAGTGAGTAAATCGGTATAAGTGACTTCTTTCTATACTTTTTCTCACACTTGTGCAAAGTTATTAACAATTAATCAACCTAGCTCTTCTATTTTAAAATATTAAAATAAATTAGTTGTCGATGTTAATTTATACATGATTTCTTTCTATATTATGAGTGTAAAAAGTGCCATTGACTTTATAGCATAATATAGCTTTATAGCTACGGGATTAATACGCGTATACCTATGTATTGAAATTCAGAATTACTCGTATATTGAAATATGTCGACATTAGATTTACACATATACATACCTCAACCTATAATAGAACGTCGATTACTCAAATTAATTATGGATCAAAATTCTTTGGACAATTAGAAGAAAGAATCAAATAATTTATGACATCATAAGTTAACTAGAAATTAAACAATTTTCAAATATGGATATTTTTACATAAAAATAGCTACACATAGTTAAAAAAAGAAATGTAGACAAAAATATATTAAACCTTTTTAGATATTACTTAATTTGTACAATATCTATTTTCTTTTTATGTTATGTCCATTGCAATATAATACTCTATGCATTTTTAGATATTTTGACAATACATGGATTAGTACAATCATTTTACATGGATTAGTAATCATTTTTTCATTTGGGTCACCGTTTTTGTTAAGCATTGATAAAATAATAATATTATCAATTTTGTATCTTAAATTATTTGCAACTATATTTGCATCTATTCGTGAACATTATCGCTACAGCAGTCTTTAAATTCAAGTATATTATACAAAGAATTTTTTAATTTGTGATTAGTCAAATTTCGAATAATCGATCTTTCTCTGTATTTATATTTTATTTTTGCTGGTAATTATGAAAGTGGACTAATTGTATTATTACCGTAATTATTGCTCTTAAATGATTACTACGAAGTTCTTAACAAGTTTGCAATAAGAATTAAAAGGCGAATTAATTTAAACAAAGTTAAGTACTGTAAAGTAAAAATAAAAAATACTTCGAGTAAAATTTTGGTTGAACTAGTAGATATTATATTAAAGAACTAATTATTGTAAATATTTTATTATTATTATATAATTACATAATATAATATAATAATTAAATATTAATTAAATATTGCATATATGCGTATTGAATTATATAGAAGGAAAAAAAATATGTTATACTACACATTTATTGAATATTAATAAGCATATTGAATGAAAACATTCTTTAATTTCACGAAGTAAAATTGTATAAGTTTAAATTCAGAGAATGTATAATAAAATCTGCAGAATTAGTTATTTAAACAAGTTAATGCAATTAGTGAAATAGTTAAACATTATGGAATTTAACAATACTACTGAAAATAATTCCCGCCGTACCATAAAAGAAATAACTTTCCAAATGAAATTAAGCTATTTTGCATATAATTATTCATAACTTGGTGCAAATAAGAAAAGTAAAGAAAATGAACAAATAGGTACTATTCGAGTTAACATGTACTTATCGATATATGTACATTCATACACAAAAGTATTCTAACGCAAGCATTTGCTATGTTCAATTACTGAAATGTACAGGGTGTCCCAGGAACGGTAGTACGGAAAGGAAATAATTCTACATGCAGAAACAAATCGAAAAAAAAAAGAATAAAATTTTGTTATTCGAAGCTTCGTTTTCCAAAAAATCAACTTTGAATGTTCACGTTGAGTGTGCGTGCACGTAGTTATGGCTTATATGAATAGACCATCAATATATGAATATCGGTGGTACAATCGAAGAGGGGGTGATTTCTATATAAGAGAACAAATAAAAAATAAAGAATAAAATTTTTGGATTCGTATATGTATTGTATATATTAAAATGAAGTTTTTAAAACGTCATGGTACATTTAGTAAGAACGAAATTCCAAGATTATATCAGTTAACTTAGAAAATAACTCAATAATATATACTATAATTACAGTACGTTCATTGGAGATCTGGATCATGATGGCGCTAGTGTGTTAAATGGAAAATTGTCTTAAGGCTGTTATAAGTAATAAAAGATGAATCACCATTATAATAGAACTTTTTAGTTTCTAATTAATGGTGCTTCTAGCTAATATCATTTAGTATTTCTGAAATACCCTCACTATTAAAATTCGTTCTTAAATAATTAGAGCAAATGCGAACAAATATTGAACAAATGTTGAGTAAACGTCGATACTTCGTTTGTCATAATATAGCATATCTTAACCGAATTTTGAATCACGAAGATTCCTCTTCTTTTTAAAAAATATTACTTCGAAGTGCAATTCTTTTTGCAACGATTATAACACTTTGTCTAGTGAGAACTAGTTTTGACTACATGGTATTCAGTTACTAGCATTAACTAGTAAAAACTAGTACTGACCGATTTTAACTTTTGATTGTAACTATACATCTGGCAATGAACTGAATATGGCATCCACTGATATGTGGGACGCAAATTGTAAATGACGAAATTTCGGAAAAGACTTTTGTAATAATTCATGTAAAATGCGCAAGAAAAGTTTTACAATATGGAAATAAATTTTGTGCGAAAACTATCTGTTAACACATAGTATGCATAATGGAAGTTTGATTAGCAATTGTGTTAAACGACGTACAGAGGTAAACATTAGTGACTCATTTCATAAAGCGAGACTGTCAATTCCTTACTTCAAAGAAGATAAGATGGATTAGGCTGGGCTAGGCTGTAAGATAACATGAAATTTTATCACGCTTATTTTATTGCACCGATATGTTTCGGGATTATCATTTTTTTATGCGTCCAGACAATTTTTCAGTAGATAAATATTGAAAGTCTTCATTCGCACAAGAGAGAATAAGAAAAATTATGAAACTTATGAAATTATTATTATGGAAATTATTATTAGAGTTATGAAAATATAATTATAGAAGTCATTTTAATTGAATATGTAAACAAATTTTAAAGAAATTATCTTCTAAAGAAACTAATTACTGAAACTTTTTACTCACTTTTTTAATTATTATTATTAATAATTATTATTAATAAT